AACAACAAACAGATTAAGAATCAGGTGCAACGCAACTATAAAAAAAAAAAAACTACGAAGAAAGTTGAAAAACTTTTAAAATAAAATAAAAATGAAATAATTTAAATAGGTTTTCAAAAAACAAGTTAAAAACTTGTCACTTAAATAATATAAGCGCAAATCAAATCTTCGAATAATAAAGGTTTATTTATAATATAGTCGTATATTTATATTTAAATATAAATACGAGCAATAAAAATAAAATAAAAACACTATATATTTAGTTACTATATAGTTAGTTCGAAGCGATTGACTTTAGTTGATATAATATATTATAATATAGTATAGGGTAATGAATAATAATGTGTATTTAGAAGAAGAAAAATAGTAAGAAGGAAAACAAATTTTAAAAGAAACAAAATAGCTCAAAAACTTACGACAAAATAAAAAGCGTCTTATCTATTCAAAACCTCTTTGAAAAAAAAGAAAAAAGAAAAAGGAATAATAGATATTGTAACAATTATATAACGAAATTAACCACAAAAATAAAACTCATGATAACAACAACAGTAACAATAATAAAAATAACAAAAATGTCAATAATAATTATTTTTAATAATAATAACGATAACAAATATAATAATACAAAAATAATATTAGTTATAATTGAAAGTATAATAATAAAAAGTAAATACCAATTGATTGATATTATTAATAATATGGGAATGAAAGCAGTAATTATTTGAAAGTATGTATATGTATATAATAATAGTATAAATATAATAATAATTATAAGAAACAACACTAGTACTTATCAAACATATAACAATAAGACAATAATAAAAGTAATAACAATAATATTCTAAATATAAAAAATGTGAGATATGTATATATATATATATATATATATATATATATATATATACCTATATACATAAACACATAAGCACACATACATGCATATGTATACATACATATACATGTATACCAATATATACACACATACATATACATACAAATGCATATATACAAATACATCCACAAATACACATACATACATACATACACATGTATATATACATACACATGTACACATGCCAATACACATACATATACACATACCAAAACACATACATACACACATACATGCATGCAAATATACACATATACATAAATCCGTACACACACATATATACATATATACATACACACACACACATACACATATACTTATATACATGTATGTATATATATATATATATATATATATATACATATATATATATATATATATACATACATATATACACATATGCATATATACATACCCACATATATGCATATATACATATATACACACATACACATATACTTATGTACATGTATTTATATATACATATACATAAACATGCATACATAAACATACACATATACATGCATACATATACACATACCCATACATTAATACATATACAAAATATGCAAATACACACATAGTTGTGTACACATACACACATGTGTACACATACATATATACATATGCACATATGTGTTTATGTGAAAAACTATATACACATATACACATACATACATATATGTGTATATGTGCAAAGATGTTTTTTTTTTATTTGAAGATCTGAAAGCAAATATTAAAAAATATGAAGATACTAATTTTGTGCAACTATGGATTAGAGACGGTAAGACAATTAATGCTGCAAGAAAAAGCATTCCAAAGAGAGCTAGTGTTATGGCTCCACAAATTAAATACTATTTTATAAAGTACTGTTGCATTCATGGTGGACACAAATTTGAATATAAAGGCTTTGGAGAACTTCGTTAGTACTTCATTTCGCATTCTTTAAGATTGTATTATTGCTCTCAGTGCAATTGTAACTCTTATAACTGTTTGTTCTATTTTAATCAATGAATAATATATATTTCTGAAAAAAAGATCTTACATTCAAGTTACATATAGTTATAAACTTATATGAGTTAAACCCCTTACAATGCTGATAATATATAATAAAAATAATAGCAATGTAAGCAATATATCCGAAAACAGAGCTTTAAAAATTCTTATAAACAATAATGTTAACAATAACAACAACAGTAATAAAAATAATATTATACACAAAACTATTTCTAGAGTTAGTGTATAATTCAAGTAAGACAGTAAAAATGAAAAGCTGAAAGTTACAGAAAAGCAACAATAAAAATAATAATATTAATAACTATAGGTGGTTAGACTTCCACAGGTTTAAAAATTTTCTTTCTTTCTTATGGTTTCTTTTTTTTTTTTAATTTAAATTTAAATTTTTATTTCAAGTCTTTCTTAGATTGTGTATGGATTATTGTAGATGATTTAAGAAACTTAGGCATGTAAGACATTACTACAAAAGGTGCAATTTTGTAGACATCTTTTATCTCCCTCCACTGATAGAAATTTCACTTTTTCCCAAATAGAACGGATTTAGTTACCATAACCTTGGGTAGTGTTCATATCTTTAAAAAAGTTTTCAGGATAATGGCATTTCTGTTTTTATACGCTACGGAAGCAATTGCCAGAGTTCTAAATCATTACAATATAATGCCATCAAAAGTAGGCGACTGTTTTAATTCTTTGCAAAAATTAGAAGAAAAAGTTTCATCCTATGAAATTGAATCGTGTGTTTTTCTTTATAAGAGTGAAAGTAGGACGATTGAGTCAGCCAGGAAAAGAGGGATTAAGAGATTTATTAAAGAAAGTTTGATGTTTTATACAATACATTATGTATGTTACCATAGTGGAAAGAATTTTTTTAGTAAATCAACTGGAAAACGCCCAAATCAAAGGTGATTCAATACGCTAGCTATTAATATAATTGAGAATTAACTAAGATTTCATATAAAAGAGGTATTTCTGCTCTAGTTACTAGACACTCAGTGTGTGTGTGTAGTAACTAGAGCAGAAATACCTCTCAGAAATACTAGAGCATCTGTTTTTGCTGTTGAAAATTTAGATTCTAAAATTTAGATTCTATTCTGTAACTAAACGCGATTGATGGTCTATTAATTTTTAAAAATTGACATTGATGGAAAAGTTATAACAATAGTTTCTATTGATTAAGGGGTATTTGTTTCTTTGGTTCATTTAGTTCTATGAGATTAAAAGTTACCTTTCTTTAATAAAACATTGGCATTTATATTGTTAGATTTAGTACTTCATAAAATTTTTTTTGGTGTAAATGATTTTTAGCAATGGTACATGCGAATGAGACCTTTCAAATAAAAATGTTGAGAAAACTCAATTATATTTAGCATCTGAGCTAAATGTCAAATGTTAACACTTTGTAACAGGGCTGTCTTAACACTAGAAATGGCCTATATTTATATATACGATATAGTATGTGTACATCTCTCTCTCTCTCTCTCTCTCTCTCTCTCTCTCTCTCTCTCTCTCTACATATATATATATATATATATATATATATATATATATATATATATATATATATATATATATGTGTATATATATATATATATATATATATGTGTATATATATATATATATATATGTGTATATATATATATATATATATATATATATATATTTACAGCGCTCGAAATAACGGCCAATCAACAATCAATGGTTGGCTAGTTTTAGAGAAATTTCGAAAAATTTAAGGGAAAATAACCTGTTTTTGTGAAAAAATTACATTTGATCGGCAACCTTTGAAAAATTATTTTGAGTGCTGTATATATATATATATACAGTATATATATTATGTATATGTAATATATTATATGTATATTTTTCAGCACATTCCAGATGAACTGTACATATGGAATTCGGTTTAAAGTGACTGATGATGGAATCAGTAGCGTAGCGAAGGGCCCGCAGCCGTGGAGAGGCCCAGAGTTATTAGGGGCCCAAGGCAACTAGAAAAAATTAAAAAAAAGTGTCAGTACAATAAATAACATGCGTATCATTTGACATACATACAAAAACATACATTTTACACTTTGTACATTATTATGTAGTTAATAATCTTGACAAGTTCTTTAAATAGTGAGCAACTTTTTATTTTATTATATCTACGAATATAAAAATAAACTACTTTTATTTATAAAATAAAATACAATTTTCAAAGTCGCAATTATGAAGTCGTTACAATTTAACGCAAAATACGTTAATTAAGCTACTTAAATAATTAAGCGATTTAAATAAAAAACAATAATTTACTCGCTTTTTAAAAATTGCAATAGTTTCTCAAGTGAACGCTTTTTTTTTTTAAACAAAAACAAAAAAACCAAACTTAATTACGTAAATTAAAGTAAAACGAAATAAGAGAATAAAAAAATAAATAAAAATATTTCATAAAAAAGAAGAAAATAATTTTACAAAAAACAGCAATAAAACAGTTAGAAAGTATAAAATTATTTATATTTTATTATATTATATTTTAGTATATTAAATTATTAATATACTAAAATCATTTGGTCTTGATTTGAATAAATGTAGGGGACAAGGTTATGATGGGGCAAGCAACATGAGTGGAATTTACTCTGGAGTACAAACAAGAATAAAAGAAATTGAAAAAAACGCAATATTTATTCTTTGCGCAGCCCACAATTTAAATTTAGTAATAAATGATGCTGAGAATTATTAATATAATAATATAAAAAATAATATTAGCAACTTCTTTTCAAGTATACAAGAAATATATGCATTTTTTGGTATTAGCATAAATAGGTGGGACATATCAAAAATAACAGGAGAATTAGAAGTAACGTTAAAAAAATTAAGTCCTACACGCTGGGCGTCTCGTTTATCATCTTGTATAGCCATAAAACAAAGATATGTAGACATAATGAAAGCTTTATCTAAAATTATTTTGGAAAGCAATAAAAAAGCAGAAATAGCACAAGCGACCGGTTTAAGAAAGAAAATGGATTGTTTAGATTTTCTTTGCATTTTGGTGTTAATTATTGAAATATTAGCACCATTAAATATCGTTTCAAAATTATTACAATCTTAAAATATGGATTTGGATAAAGTTTGTTCGTTATTAGAAACTGGATTAAAAGAAATAAAATCACTGCGCAATAATTTTGATGATATTCTTGCAAAAGCAAAAGCTCTTGCTATAAAGTGGAATATAGTTCCAACTTTTAAACAATCACAAATAAAACGAACAAAAAAAATGTTTGACGGTGAAGTAAATTTTCGTTTAGAAACGGCTGAACATCAATTTAAAGTTGATGTATTTAACACAGTTATAGATATTATTACAAATCAGATAGATTCTCGTTTTACTACTCTGAAAACAGTAAATAGCTATTTTTCATTTTTAAATCCCAAAAATATAATATTATTAGATTCTGACAAAATATTTACACATGCAACAAATTTGCAAAATAAATATCCGATAAATATATCTGATGCCTTTCCAAATCAAATGGTTTTGTTTAAAAAACTTTCAAAATAAAGCTTAAAGATGTGGACAGTATTTTGGATTTGCTCAAATTAATAACAATAACATATTGTGATATGAATTGCTCTTTCACTGAAATAATCGGAGTACTTACGCTATATTTGACATTACCCGTTAGCGTGGCAACTGCAGAAAGATCTTTCAGAACGTTAAAAAGAATCAAAACGCATTTAAGGACAACGATGGCACAAAACCTTTTGTCTGCGTTAAGTTTATTAGCTTTTGAAGCAGAAGAAGCAGCTAAATTAGATTTAAAAGATGCGATAAACCAATTTGTAGCTATGAAGGCACGAAAAAAAAAATTTCGTTAGAACTTCTACATACTATACATACAAAACTTTCTGTCATTAATGATAATATATCATTAGTTTGTGTTTTAGAATACAGTTTTTTATTTTCATGAATAACTTATTTGTCTAGAAGGAAGGTAAAGGCAAGGTGTGAGGGGGGGGGGGGGGGGGGAAGGAAATAGAAAAGAATTCAGGGGCCCGGATAAAATTTTTGCGGGGGGGGGGGGGGGGGGGTGGGGGGAGGTCAATTTTTTTGTCGCTACGCTACTTGATGGAATGCAGTTTTGTGTTGATAAGATGATGTTAGAGCATAACATTATCTTAATCTAGAAAATATATTTGACACATTGTTTTTTCTCTATCCTTTTTTTGCATAAAAATATAGTTAAGCCAATAATATATATATATATATATATATATATATATATATATATATATATATATATAATATATATATATATATATATATATATATACATATATATATATTTATATAAATATATATATATATATATATATTTATTATATTAAAATAATAATAAAATACAATTAAATTTGTAACATACTCAGAGTTTCACGCTATATGCGATCATCAGACGTTACAAACAACCATAACAACAACAAAAATTATATACAAAATTACAATACAGTAGGGTTAGATGTTAGATGTTAGCTTAGATGACGTTAAAGTTGCAGATAACAAATTTGTTTTCGTGGCGACATTTAGATAATAATTCATTTCGCTTATTTAATAGTTTTAAAGGTGATGTAATGATATGGTATTTTTCCGTTAAACAAAGGTTACATAACTTTCTTCCAGGTTTAAAAGGTTCTGCCCTATCAATAATTTTCCACGTAAGAATAGGATTTGAAAATCCCTTTTTTTTCATTTCCCAGATATATTTAGAAAGTTCTGTGGCATTAGCTTTACTTTCGTATTGAAAGGAGTTCTTATGCTTGTACCAGCGATCTTTAAAGGTGTGCTCTGTTAAACCAATATAATTTAAACCACTATCCTGTGGTGATGTTTTAACATTGCAGACGTAAATTATATTTTTACTAAGACACGTACCTTGCAAAGGACATTGTGAAGGTTGCCGGCAGTTACACGTTGGAAACATTGTGTTGAAAACATTAGATAATACTTTTTTATTGTGTGAGTTGATAATATTGGTGAAGTTTGGAAGACAACTATAACTGACTTTTAAATTATTTTTGTTAAAAATTTTGCGAAACTTATGTGTTTTTGGAAAATGCTTTTCAATTAGATTTAGAAAAGTTTTTGCGACGTTGGTTTTTACATTTTGCGAAAACGGAGGATTAAACCAAATAATGTTTCGTGATCTTAATTTTGGTTTTGGTGGGGTAAGATTTTTTTGAAAAGTAATCTTTTCATTGAACCCACTTGCTGCTAACGCATTGTTATAAAACGATGTTGCTCTATCGAAAACTTCTTTGCTAGATGAAATATTGCTAATACGGTTAGATATCATAGTTGGTATGGATTTAAAAATACTAGGAGGGTGGTTAGAATTTACGTTGATGTATAATGGGTGGTCACCTGGTTTTCTGTATGGCTGGAAAGTATTAAGCACTGTCTACCGAAAAATTACTCTTATTACTGGTATATTAATGCTCCTTTGTTGTTGAGCACTCTCTAATTATTATCGGTGCTTTTAAATAATAATAACATTTCTATAAGCAATTTTGGAATATGGAACAACATTCCTATAATTATTCAATGAAGAACATACCAATACCTACAAAGAAATTATATCTTAAATACTTAACAGAAAAAGTTGAATTAGTGATCAAACGTATAAGATGGAAAACCTTAATTTGCGAGAAAAATCTGAACCAAGAACCAGATTACCACTCTAATTTTAAAACAAGAAAATGTCCACCGCAACACCCAGATCTAGTAAATTTTGAAAACGATCTACTTAAAATGATACAAAGTATTTCATTTACTAATTCCTACAACCAGTTTCAAAAACAGCTAAATAATGATATTTGCAAAATTAAATCATCAGAAAAAATGTTTCTTTTTGCGGATAAATCACATAAGGGGCCATCCATAAAGTACGTACGCATGTATGGGGGGAGGGGGGGTTATCCTGAAACGTACAAATGCGTACAGGGGGGGGGGGAGGGTGTTAACGACAGCGAGTACGTACGCGGTTTAACTATCTCTCCTAAACTTCTTTATAAAAACATTGAATTTCACGTGTTTTAATGTTTTTTTATAAAAACATTGAATTTCACGTTAAAAAATCATAATATAAATATATGTTATTTTTTTTTCTGACTTCAATTACAATTGTTTTTTATCTTTCTTTATAAGTAACGAGGAGAGAAAAAATCGAGCTATAATATCTCCAAATAATGTTTTCCATTTTTTGAAACATAATTCGACTGTAGCAAGATGAAAAGTAACAAAACTGTAATCAAAGAAAACTTCTTTTGAATTCTTTTTTTAATTACGAACCTGGTTTTTCCCATTTCTCTTAAAAGGTTAATA